GGGCGGCCGCGGCCGCTCCTCGAGTGACAGCGCCGGCAGCCTGTTGGCGGCAGCTCAGGAGGAGGGACTCGAAACCTACTGTGACCTATTGTACGAGAGGAAAGGTGATCCGCCCCACCCTTCATCAATAACCCACGGGCAAAGGTAGCAGAGACCTGAAGTAGTCGGAGGAGATGGACTTTGGGGGCGAGGTATGGATGACGTGCCTTGCTAGCGTTTGGTCCTGCTCGGCCGCCGTAGATACACATGGTTTGGGGAACTAGTCGGTCCTACACTGGGATAAACGAGGCTCACCTTTGATAACAGCGAGACCTGAAGTGGCGCGGGGATTTCTTATCTTCCAGGTTGAATGTGTATCTGCCTTGGGTTGCCCGCCTAGTAACTTCCATTTAATTCAGATTAAAACTCCCCTCTTTCCCCCATTTCGGCCTCTTCTCCCTCTCTACTACAAACAGGGTGACAATTGTTAAGATGCCCAAGTTTTCCAAGCCCCTGCCCGGGACATCTGGTTTGACAAAGGACTCCTGTGATTCATGCATTTGTTTCTACTTAAAGCCTTCCTATAGAGTAAAAAATCTCACTTGAGTCACCAACATAACAAATTCACAAATTATATGAAAAGTAACGTTGTAGACCCAAGTGGCCAATAGTGTTTGGCACACACAGAGCACTGAATACATATGAAAGGAATGAATGAAGACTGTGATATTTAAATATATGAAATTTGGACCGGCCCCAGAAACTTGGGTTTTTTTAACCTTTCCTCTACAATGAGAGCCAATCCCTTTACACTTAAGTATAGACTCTTCATTATTATGCCTATCCTGTGGCCTTCATTCATCTTCCTCTCCTTTCTGGTTTTACCACAGCAAGTGCTCTTTCTCCTCATCAAGGTTAACCCCTGCACCTGTGCACAGGATCGCAGCCATGCCCAGACTTGGTTTAATCAGCTTTCCAGATTATCAATTTCATTTGCTGACTCCTTTCTCCCACAGATATACTCAGTCTCCCCCAACTTTTGAACAGAACAAAACCACCTTACCTCTTCTACCCACTCAACCTGCCCTATCTCCTTTCTTCTGAGAATCACTCTTTTTAAGAAACATTAAAGTATATTTACTGTCTCCACGTTTTCATCTCTTATTTTTCTCTGCTGCAATGTTGCTTTTTCCCACACAGTCTGCTCCTGTCAATGGTTTCAAAAAACCTCTTTCCTATTGGTGGTCTACTTGGGGCCATCTTTAACCTTTCTGCAACTGGCAATGCTGACTGGCTTCTTTAGTATCTGGCTATTCACCTTTTGAATCTCTAGATACTCGTTTATCTTTTTTCCCCAGTCACCTTTCTTGGTTTGAAAACTGTTGGGTATTGATGTTACCTATCTTATAACCACACCTTGTGCATAATACACAGTTGCACACTTTAGTGACAATAATTGGCTCAGACAAAAAC